TYRRRAATCTATCATTTCTGGCTTCTGCTACGTGTATTGTAAATGCCTCTGCTAGCAGGGGAGTAGAGTTTCTTCTGTGTGCTTAGTTGGAAGACGACGTTTGTAAGTACCTGATAATCCTTTTGTCTTGCAAGACAACTGCGGTCGTCACAACTTGGGTTGGGTTTCATACTCATTGTTGGGAAGAAATCTTGCATGGCGTTATATCCAAGATAATGTGATACAGTTCCAAATTTCAACAAATACCTACAAAACAATTTATTCATTAACTGAAAATGCACCTTTCTGTGCAAAGCACGTTTCGGCCCCGTTTCGGCTGCAACATGTTTTCATTTTACTTTAAAAGATGTATCAACAACAACAACAACAAGTTTATTCACGAAAATAAATAATGTGTATACAATTGCAGTCCGGCAAATAGCGTAACGCTAATCGTATTTATAGAGTTATTTCCTTTAGTACATACTTRAGAGAGTTTTGGACAAGAAAGCCGGCTACAATCCCCATAGTTGTGGGAAGCGAAGCAGCACAAACTCCTTCCCGTTTTAAAGTCTTTTCATCAATGTCTGATGCTACGACCAAAGGTGGGGCACACTACAAAAAGAATAAAAATAATTKTGGTATAAGTATTTCCGTCTCATTTATCCATTTTGCTTATCTTTCTTTTTGTTCAGTTTTTATTAAAACTGTGATCTTCCTATCTATTTATAATCATCTAAAAATGTACTTACAGCAAAACAAGCCAGCTCTCCTGGTTTGATAAGCTGGATGTGACCAGAAACAGCATTTTCACTRACACCAGACTCAAACCACACCTGGTCAAGTTCATTACAAGCCTATGATAAAAAACAGACAGTCATATATGAAAGAAAGTGGATACATGTACCTAAGAACGGAAAAAGTGGTTTAGATACTAATTTATCTAACATCAATCAACACTTCAACCATTTATGATTGGTATTTAGTGTAATAAATATTTTGAACAACTTGCTCAATGGAAACGGGAAGCRTAGGACAAAAAAACAGTGTACACAACTTGTTTTTCTTCATGTTTTGGTTTGCATATCAAAACAAAATCTTMCTCTAAAGTTTTCTTTCAAATGAATGTGCATAATGGTAATGGCAGAGTATTAAAGTCTATAGTTGTGGACAATCTTATCTTAAAATCAGCATAGAAGAATTCACTGGCAAAACTGGCAAAAGCAGCAATCAATTTCTAAACAATTGCTTACAGTGTTAATTGCCATTCTTGCCTCAAAATTATCAACACAGCTCAGGACTAGGTCTACTGGTTTATCATCAAACCCTCCATGGCTGTGAATTGAAAGAAACCAATGTTCGTAAAACTTAGACATGCAAATTATTCTAACTCTGTCTTTATGGTACAATATCAACTTCACCATTTATAGCGTATCCTGCAATATAGTTCAAGGGCGGATCAAGCTGGTGGGTGCAGGGGGTGCGCATCCCCTCCTGAGATCTGTATCCTTCAATACTTTCCTTATTTTGTATCTTCAAAATAATTATTTTTGCAGGGTTCATCCCCTCCTGAGAGCCCCGCACCCCTCCCTCAGGAAAATCCTGGATCCACCCCTGTAGTTCTCCTGCATTTTTGCAAGGTTTTTGGACATAACCCCAGCTTTGTTCCAAATTCACTAGCCTTCAGTTGATTCAGAAGTCACATTCAGAATTACACTGTTAGCCTAAAAAGCACTTAAAGGGTGTGMATCATCCTATTTCTCAATGAAAAGGCTCCCTGTTATGCACAACCTTTTGARCTTTGAAATACTTGAACTTGCCTTATTACAGCCATGGGCTGAACAAGCATGTTTAGTTCCTCACTGAAATCTCAAAAACTGCTCAATTTTTACATAACATGCATTGATTTACTGTTAGGCTATTGGTAACAATTTTTAGCTCTTACCTTATTCTACACAGAAARTGATTAAAATTCTCCATTAGAGTAATATTGTAATTGTAGGCCTCAAAGGTCACATCTGGGTTGATATCCCTGGAAAAAAAAGATTAAAAAGTTGGAAGATGGTAAACTTCTGAATAACTTTGCTTACTGACTTTATCAAGTTACAAAACAATTACTTCTTGAGTGAGCCTCCATTGTACATTGTTTGAACACAACAAGAAGGGCCTATATTTTGTTTCTTTGCTTAATATTAAACTATGCAACTCAAAAACAGAAGTGTAGCCATATGAGAAGTGCACCGTTGCATTACATACTGTATTTTAATAATCATCCCCACCCAAAAATAAGGCGGTACCCCTTGAGATGTGCACATGACTCATCAGAACACATACAATTAAGTTACTTTATATGATTATTCTGGAACTAATTCATACTACCTTAGGGTATTGACAGCTGCTTCAACTTTACTCATGCCTGATTGCTCTGGCCTGAAGAATAATCTAAAAAGTACAAATTTAAAAATGCCTCTTTTAGCATAACTGATATTTCTAGACACTACTTTCTACCGAGTTGCCTTTGATTCAAAGACTGTATTAAATGATTAATAAATGTCAATAATTCTGATACGTCCTTCTCAATATGCAGGCTGTGCATATATAATTTTGGCATTGGAAAAGGAGTATTTGAACCATGTATATGAATACTTGTTCAAAGATGACTAAAGCATCAATAAATTTGAGAATTGCTTTCATATTAATACCTGTTCATATTCGCAAGTTCAACTTTATCATAATCAAAGAGCAGGAGCTACAAAATGCATAAAGTAAATTCAAAATTACATTAACAGAAAGAACTCCAATGACATAAAACACCACACAACACTAAAATTGCAATTAATCATTAACTATCACATGACCTAGCCCTGACTTAAAAATCTTTGGAAAATAATTGTACAAGTGGATACAGATAAAAGATTATTTAYATGTCAAAACTAGAATGAATACCTTCCCAATTCCACAGCGTGTAAGCATCTCTGCTGTTACACTTCCAACACCTCCAATGCCTACAATGGCAACTGTGTAGCCACGAATACTCTGAAATTAMAATATYAAAATATTTGGACTGGTCTATTTCATTGATTCTTGACAAACATCCTGTAAACCGTTGAACAGAAAGATACGAATATGAGGACTRCATGGCACTATGATCAACACGATATAGAAATGAAAGAAAGTTAAAGTGCTTAGAAGGAGGCAACTCCATGAGAAAGGCCCTTTAGGAATACATTCGGAAAAATTATTTTTTTCTAAAGGGTCTTTCTCCTTCTAAGCACTATAACTTTCTTTCATTTCTATATCGCATTGAACATAAAGKTTTTTTCGACTGAAGCAAATATCCAATAGTTTTGTTATTGATGTTTATTGGTAGGATTTAATAATTACTAATATTTTTCAATATTCATTATTTTGTTTGGTTAACAGAATTTTGATAGAATGAAGGCACTGAAAACTCCCATACTTACCCTCCTCATAATAAGTGTCACTATGAATATTTTTGTCAAGGATGTACRCTATTTTGATCAAGTTCAATCACTAAAGAACTATCACTGAGAAACATTTCATTTTAGAACTAGTCATRAAGGGATAAGACTGAGTACATTAGCAGCATTTAATCAAAAGACTCACCTCATAGTTGTCAACAATGCCCATTCTTTTCAATGCCATCAGCCGACTGTCATTTTACAAATAAATAGAAATACAATAATCTGATTAGTTATTAATTATTGTACATCAGTCTAGACCTAAGCCTCCTTTTACACCCACTAAAGCACTTGCAGAGAAAAAGGGTAGTCTAGTTTTTGTATCTGAATAATTTGGTAAAGGAAACATTTCATTCATAATTTCCCATTCAATTCGTAAATGTCCATTCATTTCCTGAAATCGCATGACTGATCATGAAACAATAATTACAGGCTAATCAGGGAAAAAGATCTAATGAAAAATTTATATTAAGTTATTTCATGAGCTTATTTTTTGTTTATTATATATTACAAAATGCAAGCAAACAGAGATAATTTTCTTACYGTTACAAATGTACCATACGTTTTCGAAAATTTAAAGATTATAAGCTTATATTTTATGCAAGCTAAAACGTACGTTAAGCGTAATTTCTCATTTAATTTTGATGGATCMAGCCTATTCCCACGTGCGAATAGAAAAAGAAATTAGAATAAGATRAAAATAGTCAATATACATAATCAAAGTTCTTGAAATAAGAAGCMACTGAATCAAAAAACAAACAAAACAATCACCTGTAGGGATTGCTATCCACGACCTCAGAACTCATCGTTGTGATTTTTTCCCGTCTCGGTCCCTTTTTCTTTCTTTCCAGTTCTAAGGCTTTCTCAAGTTCAGCGATTCTATCTTCTAGCTTCTTCATCTCTTCCGCCATTATGAGAGCTCACAATTAAAGAACTAGAACAATCTTTGATCAAACGGRTGATTTGCAGTAATCGACTGTACTTCTGTTTGGTGAAAATTTTTTCCTTTGAAATCAAAATGGCGACCAGAAGATCAGCTGCAAAAGAATGTTGACCGCTGACCGCTGACCTTGACCTCAAAAATTAATATAAAAATGTCATTTCAAAATATCATACTCAAAATTCCCACTTTTGAAAATGTAAAAAAAATTGAAAATTTTCATTGAAATCTAGCTTTTTAGCAATCTTTTCAATTTCTAGTAGTTATATGTTGTTTTTTTTTCGATGGGAAATTTTATGAAAAATTGTTATTAAAGTTRCTGCATTAAAATCAAATATTTCGAAATATGTTCGTTTAGATAGAAAGAATTGTTAGTTTTAGATTTATATTTTTTTTTCCTTTATATTTTTTTATTATCGGGCTTCCTGTGTTAGACTGGCAATTGTGTTCGTGGGCTCACATAAACGTAAACAAATGTTGCCAAGACGACAAAGAATCAGAACATCCATTTTGTTGAACACTTTGAATGTGATATTTTGTACTAAACAAAATGCCCAAAAAAGCAAAGAAAGGAAAAGCTGGAAAAGGAAAGAAAGGAGGGTAAGTTTCAGTACTCTATTGGATTGTGGTTAGAGTTAATATCAGCAAAAATGGACACACAATTTGAAATAAAACTCAAGTCGGAGGCGTACGTTTGTAAATAAACAAGGAAGACTTGAGAACTAGTTTTAATATTGATGTATTATCATTAACATTCTTGTAGAAAGAAAGGCAAGAAGGAAGGAAAGAAGGCCAAGAAAGACTCAGTGTTGAAAGACGCAGTCGCCAACGCAAAACTATGGGAAACGAAACTGGATGCAGTTGAAAAGTCAAGGACAGAGTATAGGTACGTGAAGCTATTAAGTTATAACGAAAACTTAAGCTTATATGCTATATATGTAAGCTTATATGTAATAACATCGTACACATAATTGTTATCTTTTGAGAAATACATGTACTATATAGAAAGATATAATATATAATGCTGGCATAAAWCAGTATCATTGTTTTGTATAGCCCGGGCTAGTGATTATTTTAAAATACTGTACAATATGAAGCAGTTATATCAGGCTTATTAATCATTATAGTATTCATTAACTTAAAATAAAAGCTTCTAGATATGGTTACTGCTAACTCCAAGTGCTAGGATTAACATAGCATAGCTTTTATTAGGGACTATTCGTCAAGAGGGGGAAGTATTTAGGCAAGGGGGTACATTGTCAGTACATCAATACTAGAGGAGTGCATTTTTTCTTTGGTAAAATAATGCAAATTGCAATTTTTCTTATTTTAGATTATTTGGCAATAATTAACAAACAATCCCTCATAAACCAATGTAACTGTTATGAAAAGTACAATTTATGCTTTGTCCAACTAGTTAAAAAGTCTGATACCATATTGTTYTTGACTGTTTTCAGGGACAATGCCAAAAGGTTGCTGTATGAGAATGACGCTTTGCAACAGCAAGTGTCTCAAACAGAAAAGGATACAATTGAGGTCATTGCTTTCCTTAAACAAGAAGACATGAAGAAAGATGAACAGGTTTGTATTAATCTTAATGAAATGATGTCACATTATTTATATTGGCAAATGATTATAAGTAAAACATGTATACATACTTTCAAAAGAAATCAAATAAATTATAGACAATATATAACAATGGAACATTGTGCAAAATTGTATTAGTGGAAGAAAAGAAAGCAAAAAAGTTAGTATACAATTTTACAATGTTTTGCTGATATAAGATTTGCAGTATCTTTTTGTATCAAAATAACTGTCAGTGCATGCTCACATAGAGTGATATCATGTTATATCTACACTTAGGTTGCCCGACTTAACCAAGCTTTAAAGGATCTCAAAAGAGAAGCTCGTAAAGAAAGACAAAATTTGGTAAGTGCAGTTGCTATGTACACAATGTACTGTACCATTAACATCTGATTTGATGATGTTGGAGTCAGACCTTTTTTYCTGATATCTGTAAACTGATTGGCCAATTATTCTGTAATACGTACTAGTAAAAAATGGATATCATTTTGTCTTGTAGGTGGATAGTTATGCTGCAGAGATACACCAACTACAAGAAGCTCTTGCTGAGAAGTCAAATGAGGTATAGCATGCTGCTTTGAACTTATGCAGTTTGGCTATTTCACACAGGRGGATGTRTTGTAGTTCWGGTTCAATATATTTTTGAACCAGTTTAATCTAATTTGTTCCAGTACAAGACTTCTAACTTCTTGTACTGGTCTTTTTTTTTTTTTTTTTTTTTTTTTTTTGCTTTGGCATTCTTAAAAGACCTAAAAGATACTATATCCCATCTCATTCTCTCCCATTTTCTATCTAGCATCTTATTTTCTACCTTCTACTATTTCCTACTTTATCTTACCCTATACCCCACAGAAATATTGATATTTTTTATATTTTTAATTTATGAATAACACTATACCTTCATCAGGGTTTGAACCACTGAACTCTTGCTTCATAGTCCACTGAGTACTACCAATTATACCATCAAAGGTTTTGTTGGTAGTAATGTTTGCAAATTGTTTTTATCTTAATTTTAATTTATTAATGAAGAAAATTTTTATATAATTCTGGCTCAACCCTATTCCCAACCCTAAAACTAACCCTAAACTTAAGCCTAACCCTAACCCTAAACTGATTTGTACTGTGATTGAGTTATATTGGACTGGCTCAAAATAAACTGAACCATGCCAGACAGAAGAAATTGAATTGGTTCAAAATCATATTGAACCTGAACTACAACAGATGCATCCAGTCATTTGTCAGGGGGGCTGCATCCAGTCATTTTTCAGGGGGGTGTTCCAAGTAAAGAAGTCATATAATGATGAAAAATTAATTTTGAGAAATTGTTGGCTTTGATGGCAGTTGCTTGCAAAAGCCTTGTACAGCAAATACCATGTCTATAGTATATGTTTTTTATTTTTTATTTAAACAGGTGAAACTTATGCAATCAGAAYTAAAGTTGGTCAAAGAATTCAGAAGGAAAAGAGCTCAGATGCAAAAAGAATTGGATGAGGTAATGAATATCTTAAAATTGTTTTAATTTTTAAATTGGATTGACCTTATTGAAACTGAATTTATCAAATAATAATGTTCATTTCATTGCTTCAGGTTCATGGTATAATATAACCTGTATAGTACTATATCAATTTTTAAACTTTAATTTGATTGTAGGAATTCATTGTCCATCAAAATCCATTTGTTTGTTTCATTGAAAATGTTCAGTTGAGATCCAATTAAATTAAATGCAGATAAAAAATCATTGTTGTTTATATTTAGATCAAAGAGAGTATGTTCATGACAGAAAAACACCACAAGGGAACTTTACAACAAATGGAACAGAAATTTTTTGAAGAAAAGGTAAAACAGTTTTTTTCTGAGAACTTTGTTATGACATGAATAAATTATACTTGATGAAAACTAGTGACAATTAGTAATTCTTGCAACACTTTGGTGGTCTTCCCAAGCTACAATGGGGACAAGCAAAACATTGCTGATTTTTAAACTTATTTATGTCACACAGGTGCGTTTRCAGCAGGAAGCAAGTAAAAAGATTGCTGAATTGGCAGAAAGAGCTCACTCAGAAGCTATCAGGTAAATTAGTGTACATGCATTGCATTCTATGAAAACTCTGAACAAATGAGGTTAATAAAGAGCCGTGGGAAGGTGGGGATCATGACACTCTGGTCATTGAGAAAATGACCCCTAAGAGGTTGCAAACTCTTATCCAAGTTGGCATGGCAAAGACATAATTCTTACACCTAGATGGTACACAAAGAAGGATACTAGTATTTGTACAATTTATGTACATTACATGTACAAGTCTGAAAAGATTTTATTATTCATTAGTAATTTAGATGAAACAACAAGATCRGTGTACAAAGAAAATGTCAGAGTTAATGCTGCTTTGGAATTCCACATGAAGGAAGGCCAGGAACTTAGAAAGGTGAGGCTGATGCTGCATTACAATCTGATTTAGCAAATTTTAGACAACACTTTCAAGTTGGCATATTATATGTGTGGTATATATTAGGCTGTTACATGGTGAACTGATCTTTAACATTTTTCCAGGAGAGGGACAGTTTAGCAGACCAAACCAAAGAATTGCTGTCAGAAAAGGTTAGCCTATTGCAATGCTTGTAGAATTTCTTTATAAGTGGTAACTGCACCATTCATTTTAACCATAAATATTGCTTCACAAGTCCAAGCTGAATCTATTGATCAATATTTAAAACGTTTAGAAAGGCAGGACTGAWGAAAATAAACAATAATAATGTTTTCTGTACTTTAGGAATTGAACGGGATAATTGTCCAAGAAAAAGTAGTGGAGTCTAAACATCAAGGAAAACAAATAGAAGAGGTATGATGTCATACTTCATAATCAAAATATATTTACTATTATTATACCAACTGACCGACATGTTTTTTACAACTCCCACCGACAGCTAAAAGAGAAAGTGAAAACATTAGAACAATCTTTGACGCATCTTGTACGAGAATTTGAAGAAGAAAGGCAAACGATGATTGAAAAAGCTGATAATGAAGCCAAAAGTAGTCGGTAAGTAAAACAACTTGGTATAAACGTTCGTCCCATTCTTTCATTTTTGTTTGTTCCCGATACCGCAGCACCTATCTTGTATCCTTCTGGGATCGATTTTATCAAAGGTGATTAGCGCTATCCATCGGACAAATCCTTATCCAGTCCAATCCTTGTCCCCCTAATGAAACTCCTACTCACTCTCCTGGAATATACTAGTTCTAGAATTGACCAAAAATGCGCCTAATTAATTTTAAAATTTCTTTCTTATTTCAGAGCTGAAATAGCAAGACTACAACGCGTTGTAGAACTTAAAACGAAAGAGATGAACAAAGTCAAAAGACTCGCTAAAAATATTCTGGATCAGGTACATATGGATACAATGATATACGATGCTTCCAAGCCGTGTTTTCCCCACAATCAAATTGTCATCGTTTTCAGCAAAAAATAGAGAAAGCACACTTATGATGTAATCTTTTTGATAGGTCAAAACAATTTGTCTGCTCTAGCCGCACAGAAATATGACGTTTCTGTGTTTCTAAAATTTAGCATTGAAAGTGCTCCAAAGTCGATAAAAAAAAACTTTTTTGTACAGTGAACCCCAATATATATGTACAATTGATACGGTTTTCACGATTCAGGTAGTGCTGAATGTAACCATTTTTGTAATTAATATTACTAGAGAACCGAAATGGAACAATTTTTTCTGGATTCTTTGGAATATGTGAAGAATGAAATAGTTAGAAACAGGTAGGTGGCTCGCAGTTAAATTTGCTTGTTTGTCTGTCTGTCGAATTATATTATTTCGAGCGTCATTCTAATTGCCTTATTTCATTATGACGTCACTGTATGTTTATTCAGGAAAGAAGCTCAAAAACAGTGGAAATTTAAACCAAATAAATATTCTCTCCGAAAGTATAGCTTCAGTGTATCGTGTTTTAATAATCCCCTCTGGCGACCATAATCCTTAGGTTTAAAATAATAGAATGTTTTAATGTGACTTAATGAAATAGGGCAAATATACGTTGATTTGGTAAATTTTATCTATTTTTTCCACCAGTTATTTTGTTATCTATTGCAARTATTCATTGAATAATACCGTTGTTTGTCTATCACGGATTAAGTGCGCATACTCCAAGTTGGTTGCGTTGTTTTATTTACGCTGTGTGTGTGTGTTTTTTTAGAGTTCAGTATAGACGTGATGCTCAAGCAGCTTACCAGCAACGCATGCTAGAAGCCCATGGCGGCCATGGCGACTACCCGATGGTACGTACATTCAAGCCATCTGATACCAGCACTAACAACGTATTCGACGATCTGAAGGTAGCAGAACGATGGACRGGGATGGAAGGCAAAATAGACATTGGTGATTTAACGTGGGAGCAAAGRGARAGAATACTGAGATTACTTTTTGCAAAGATGAATGGCTTCAAAGAAAAACCACGAAAGTATGTATTAATGTTTTTCCTTATCTTCAACTTCAAATACAGTTTTTCTTTGCATAAGTTCTGGAGTTACTGCTTCGRTAACAGAAAGAATAGTATTTTAATGAAAACAACTCGAGTTAGGCAAAGGATGATGATAGTTGTAGTCCTCGTACTTTTTTATATCCGCTAAAACAGTCCTCCTTTTTGCTTCAGTTTTTTGCTTTATTTAAGCGAAAATAGAAGTATGTGCGCCTTTTCTAAAAAGAAAATGTAAAAACGGCTTTTAATGAGATATTTTAGGGGCTATGAAAAATATGAGTACTAAAACTACCATCATCCTTTGCTGTACAAAATGGCGTCGCTGCACATTGCCTATTGCAGTAATTTAATTTGGATAACTTTTACTAAATTAACAATATGCTAAGACATGCTATGTTACTTTTGTTAACAGGACCAAGTTACCAAGCCTAGACCCAGCCCGCACTCCWAAGCAACCTGCAGCAATCGATGACAACAATAGTACGTTTATAACACAAGGGGCAGTGTTGCCATCAAACACTGAAGTCAAACCAGCCCTCCAGGGTCCTGAAAATACTCAACAAGCTGTCTCTTAGAAGAATAGATAACTAGATATTGTATTATAGTATATGGTGTATATATGGTTACGAGGTTTTTTAATATAAACGTTAATTTTATACTGTGAATTGACATGTAATTCCATAACGAATAAATAAATAAAAGTAGCATAAATAAAAAAAGTTCTCTCAATTTACTCAATCGTGTCTTAGATTACAATWTTGTGTTTTCGAGGGCAAATTTGCACTTTGTATATAAAACTATAACGCGCTTTCCTSAGAAAACTAGGTAAACAAAATCAGTGTATCTTAGATTATATTTTCATGTGAATGAATCGTCTTTTCATAGAGCTCTAGTTGAATATAGAATACATTTTGTTTTATATAGTAGTCTGATGCAATACTGATAAGGCAAAATCATCGAAAGTTCATTCATCATACACGTGGTTCYGTTTCRTGCTACCGATCATCTSAAACAAACACGGTGTTAACTATTATATGGCATCRGTCAATGGCAAAAACGTCTTTTGGAACAAGACTTTTGTAGACGATTTCAGGGCACCTCGGCATRAAATTCAGAAGTATTTCGCAGGCTTAATTCTTGCCACGGGCGTCGCCCTGATCGTTTTTTTCATTCATTCTGACCTGTTGTATAAACAATAATTTCTCTGCAAATTCTGTAAGTTTTAGCCACCACTAAAAGGTGGATGTAGTAACGTGGAAAACTTTCTAACATACTTCCTTATAAGGTAAGATTACCATATATGGTCAGCAAAAGTTTGGCAAAGGAATGAATTTTTCTCCCAACCAGTTGTTTGATAGTATAATTATTTTTTTTTTTTAACAAACGTTAATTATAGTTTGTTCAGATAAACGGAAATCACAAAGGCGAGGATAAAATGCCCACTTTTCCATTTTTTACTGAATRTAAAGCTGGTCATGAATAATGGAGAKTCTGCTGCGTCAACTTGTAATTAACTTGTACAGATTTATTTATATTCGTGGAACTTGTTGCATTGTTGTTACTATTATGTCGACAACGTTACACAATCTACTACCACCGTGTTTACGGCAAATAATGACAATGCACCCTCTGCCACTCAATGCTGGAGAATGTGCACGTACCAAATGACCCGCGATGGAAGATCGTCACTGTATGGCATCATGTAAAGCCATTCCCTWTTATGCAACTTTCATTCGCCGTTCTCTCCGACGTTTTTTGAAATAAGTGTATATTTCTATCCAAGATTAAACCTCATAAAGTTTTAACCGGCTTACGAGGAAGGCATTTTGACAGACTATGGATGACTAAACGAAAACCGTAGTACTAGTATTGGTTGGTGGGACATCTTATATTAAAGAATTCACATTTTCATGCTAGCTACATGGAATATGATAGAGTTCTTATTGAGAATTGTATTATGGAAAGAGTGCTCAAAATAAAATTTCAGCCTGACAAGTTCTTCAATTTTAGGTTTTTCTACGCTAGGCTTTGTAGTTTTAATTTGTTTTACCAGTATTAAAATTTAATTCAAACGATGGAACAAAATTATTGCTATCTTTAAAATGTATCAGCAAACTTTTGGAATTTCAAGGGCTCAATAAYTTTAAGCGAATCGTTCGCAAAAACGCATGGTCTTGTTCGCGCTCACAAGCCAAACTTCTTTCATAAATGAAAAACATATCCGGCTCACTCACAGTTCRCTYACTTSTTTCAATGAATACTAAAATTAAAGTAAGCAAATGATGTACATTTAATTCCAAGCTCAGGATTTGAAAGTACAACAGAATTGCATTTGATTGAAGTACTTTGTATCTAGCCCAAACACAATATGGCACTATCGGCTGACCATATTTTTGATCGAAGAAAATTCAAATATACAATGTACATATAAAAATATTAATTACATATATATCATATATCAACAATACCATGGTTCATTTATGGGGAATATACAAGAGGTAATTAAATCGATCTTAACAAGTGGCCTTATTTCAAGGCTATTCAAAATCGCTGTCGCTATCTTCTGGACCCCAGTCCTTGCTATCTTCTTTCTCTACCTCGTCCTCTGAATCACTAAAAACGTACTTTTTCGACGCCGCTGCTGTCCCACGTCGAGAGCGACTGGGGAGAGGCCCATTGTCGTCACTATCTTCGTCACTAGATATGGCTTTCTTCATTCGTTTAGGAGGACTTTTTGGCTAATAAWTGAAAAAAAAMCCGGAATATTCAATGAAAAAAATACAGTTTTGATACACAACGGACTCTATTATAGCCATGTTTACATGAAACTTCAAAACATCGCCAGTTTATTTWATGAAAATCTTTCTAGACAAAGGCAGAAAACTTTAACCTAAACTAATACAACACAGCCACAGATGTATATCTCTGTTCTCTAATACAAACACGGTTGGAGACGGAGACTCAAGAAGCTGCATTCGCGTTGCTAAGCTTCCTTGTCTTGCTCTCTAAATGTCACACCGCGTTAACATCAGAGACAAAGGACCTGGATATACTCWGCGTAAGTATGATACCTTGTTTTTAGCTTTCGACGTCTTCTTGGCTCCAACAACCTCGTTTGAGGAGTCACTGTCTGAATCGTTCATAGCCTTTGCAACAGATTTCGATGCTGCTCTTTTCGTYGCCTTTGTCGTTTTCTTAGGAGCGATTGCTTCTGACAATGATGAATCACTATCGGAATCGTTTGACTTTTTCGCTTTTGATGTTGTTTTCTTAGGAGCTTTGGTTGTCTTTTTGGCAGTGACAACTTCAGACACTGAAGAGTCGCTATCCGTAACATTGGAACGCTTTGTTTTAGCGGCTGCTTTGGTAGTTTTTGCTTTAGCAGGAGCTTTTTTCTTTTCGGCAACTTGTTTTACCAGTAGTGAACCTAGTTCTTCATCGGAGTCTAATGGTAGGACTTTAGAAGTTGGTTTACCCTGGAAARGATTAAGATATATAGAGGATATTACACAAGCGCGCGCAGATACGGAATTTATCTCCGAGTGTTGAAAAGATCTTTCACGAGTGAGCATAGAATTCCAAGAATCGTATTTGCCAAAAGTTCGATTCTCGGAATGTTATGCGCAGGCGCGTAGTTWGATGATCTGTTAGAAACACATGGAAAGCATAGAATAAGAAATCAGTTTGCTGCGACGCCATTTTGTTCAMCAAACCATGWTCGACAAAATGGCGTCGCWCCTTGCGACTGTTGATGGTTTTGTAARCTACCTTTCCCTTGGCTGTTTGCGGTGCTTTGTTTAGACTTTCATCACTATCRGTACTGGTAAAGTCCATTGCGAAAGGGTCATCACTATCAGAACCATGACTGTTTTTCTTGGGTTTGCTGCTAACGAAGCTGTGCAAAAACAATTATTAGTCACAAGACGCCAAATCCATCGCACTTCATGAACGTGACGCACAACTAGTTGGCATTTTGTGCCTGAGGATACGATTGATCGAATCTAGTTGTTTCATGAAATAGGATGCTTTTGTTGTACACTCATATGGCAAATGAAAGTCGTAGTTACAAGATGGAAATTACAGATTTCAATTTTCCATGACATACAAACTTTCCAGGCCTGTAAATACAAAATTATATGACTTTCCAAGTTTTCCAGGACACGTACGAACCCTTTTACGGACACCATGTTACTAGCACAAAAGATTTCTCATTTAGTTGATATCATCAACATTTTAGTCTTTTACATCTTAAGGAATTAATAGGAAAAAATACAGCCCTAATGCTTCTTGGACATGGGAATGCAGTTCCCTGGAGGGGGTGGGGGGACAATGGACAATAGCATTCCGGAGAAAAACTATTTTTTTTATTTTTCCCCTAGATGGAGCTGCTTTGACGTAAAATGCAAAGGGTCTGTAGGTCCAGATAAATATCTATGTAAGAATGCAAGGTAAAAGTTCAAACCTTGTCATAGTGGTCTGCTTTTTGCTGGGTAAAGAAGCTTCTGACGAGACGCTCGACAAAGACGAAGTTGATTCGGCTCTYTTCAGAGCTAGCCGYTCAGAGAGAGACAACATAGGCTTTTCTTTTGGCTCGCTATCTACAAGTACAACACTTTCCACTGGTTTCTTTTTGGGTTTCTCCTTTGGCTCGTAATCTTCATCTTCTGCTRATTTCTTCTTTGGTTTTTCTTTCTTAGTGGTTTTAGACTGAGCTGCTTTCTTGATGGGTTTTGGTTTCAAAGCTCGACCATTTTTCGATTTTCCAGCCATCATCTCTTCGTCCCTTTCAATCTCTTCAACACGCTATCAAAAACAAAGCATCACCATTAGCATTAATAATGATAATTAAGGTAAGGATGAGAACAATGAGGTAATGATTATTTTTCGTTAGATTCCTGAAATTCCATCGTGCACTATCTTCGCTTTATTCACCTTGGMTCTTCTTGAGATTTCTCATAGTAAATTAGTCCATTGTGAATATGCACGATTCTYGTCGAAAATCATTCAGTTAGACTTTCTATTGTTTACAAATTTAAGTTAATGCAATT